CTTCCTTTCCTTTCCTTTGTAGCAAGGATGCTTGAGCTTCACAAGGAGTGAGTGGGCATTGTAGCCATTTTATCAGACAAACTAGAGCTTCAACCAAAAACTGTAATAAGAGATGAAGAAGGGTACTATAGCATAAAAAAGGGGGTCTATCTAACAAGAAGATCTAACAATTGTAAATATTTATGCTCCTAAGTTGGGGGCAGAAAAATATATAAATTGATTAATAACAGACCTAAAGAAACTCATCGACAAAACACAGTACTAGTTGGCAACCTTACCACCTCATTCACAACAATGGACAGATCATCTAAGTGGGAGAGGAACAAGGAAAAAGGGCTTTGAATGGCACACTGGATCACATGGATGGGCTTGACAGGTATATTCAGAGCATCTTAAAGCAACAGAATTCACATTATTTTCAAGTGCACATGGAACATTCTCTAGAATAGATCACATTCTGGGTCACAAATTGGGCCTCAGCTAGTACAAAAAAGATTGAGATCATACCATGCATATTTTCAGACTACAGTGCTATGAAACTTGAAGTCAACCACAAGAAAAATCTGGATAAACCACAAATACATGGAGGTTAAAGAACATTCTACTTAAGTATGAATGGGTTAACCAGGAAATTAAAGAATTTAAAAAATACATGGAAGCAAATGAAAATGAAAACACCACAGTCCAAAACATTTAGGAGGCAACAAAGGCAGTCCTAAGAGGGAAGTATATAGCAATACAAACCTTTCTCAAGAAGCAAGAAAGCTCTCATATAAATCACCAAACCTTAAACCTAAAGAAGCTGGGAAAAGAACAGCAAATAAAGTCTAAATCTAGCAGGAGAAAGGAAATAATAAAGGTTAGAGCAGAAATAAATGATATAGAAATTTTTTAAAAAAGTAGAATAGATGAATGAAACTAGGAGTTGGTTCTTTGAAAGAATTGACAGAATTGATAAACCCCTAGCCAGATTTATGGGAAAAAAAAAAGAGAGAAAGGACCTAAATAAATAAAATTATAAATGAAAGAGGAGAGATCACAACCAACACCACAGAAATATAAACAAGTATAAGGGAATATTATAAGCAATTATATGCCAACTGATTAGGCAATCTGGAAGAAGTGGATACATTCCTAGAAACATATAAATGACCAAAGCTGAATCAGGAAGAAATAGAAAATCTGAAACGTCCCATAACTAGCAAAGAAATTGGAGCGGTAATAAAAAATTTCCCAACAAACAAGAACCCAGGGCTGGATGGCTTCCTAGCAGAATTATTCCAAACATTTAAGGAAGAGTTAATACCTATTCTTTTGAAACTCTTTCAAAAGATAAAAATATAAGGAAAATTTCCAAACTCATTCTATAAGGTCAGCATTACCATAATTTCAAAACTGACAAGGACCCCACTAAAAAGAGAATATAGACCAATATCCCTCATGAACATGGACGCAAAAATTGTCAACATGATGCTGGCCAATTGAATCTAAGTGTATATTAAAATGATAATTCACCTCAACCAAGTAAGTTTTACTCCTAGTTTTACACCTGCAGGGGTGGTTCAACATCTGCAAATTGATCAATATGATGTACCACATTAATAAAAGGAAGGATAAGCATCATATATGATCCTCTCAATAGATGCAGAAAAAGCATTTGACAAAAATACAGTATCCTTTCTTGATAAAAACCCTTAAGAAAGGAAGAATTGAAGGAACATGTCTCAACATCATAAAGGCTATTATATGAAAGACCCACAGCTATTATCAACATCAACAGAGAAGAACTGAGAACTTTTCCCCTAAAGTCAGGAACATGATAGGGATGTCCACTCTCACCACTGTTATTCAACATAATACTGGAAGTCTTAGCCTCAGTAATCAGATGACAAAAAGAAAAAGAAGGCATCCAAATTGGTAAGGAAGAAGTCAAACTTACTATTTGTAGACAACATGATACTCTACATAGAAAACCTGACAGACTCCACCAAAGAATTCCTGAAACTCATCATGAATTCAGCAAAGTCACAGAATATAAAATCAATGTGCAGAATTCTGTTGCATTTCTATACAGCAAACAAAACAGAAAAAAAAATCAAGGAATCGATCCCATTTGCAATTACATTAAAACAAAGATATCTAGAAATAAATTTAACTAAAGAAGTAAAAGATCTATACTCTGAACATTATAAAACACTTATAAAGGAAATTGAAGAGGATGCAAAGAAATCGGAAAGCATCCCATGCTCATGGATCGGAAGAACAAACATTGTTAAAATGTCTATACTACCCAAGTGAATCTATATATTTAATGCAGTCCTATCAAAATACCACCAGAATTTTTCACAGAGTTAGAACAAACAATCCTTAAATTTGTATGGAATTGCAAAAGACCCTGAATAGCCAAAACAATTCTGAAAAAGAAAACAAAACTGGAGACATTATAATTCTGGACTTCAAGCTTTATTACAAAGCAAGACAGTATGATACTCTACAGACACATAGGTCAATGGAACAGAACAGAGAACCCAGTAATGGACCCACAACTAAATGGTTAAATAATCTTTGTCAAAGCCAAGAAGAATATCCAATGGGGGGAAAAAAAATCTCTTCAACATGGTGTTGAGAAAGCCAGACATGTAGAAGAATGAAACTGGACCACTTTGACACTATACACAAAAATAAGTTCAAAATGGATGAAATACCTGTGAGACAAGAAACAATTGAAGTCATAGAGAAGAACACAGGTAGAAACCTCTTTGACCTCAGCCATAGCAAATTCTTCCCAGACATGTTACCACAGGCAAGGGAAACAAAACCAAAAATGAACTATTGGGACTTCATCGGGGTAAAAAGCTTCTGTGCAGCAAAGGAAACAATCAACAAAACTAAAAGGTAGCCTACAGAATGGGAGAAGATACTTGCAAATGACATATCTGAGTAGAGGGTTAGTATCCAAAATCTGCAAATAACTTATAAAACTCAACACCTAAAAACCAAACAATCCAGTTAATAAATGGCCATAAGACATGAATGACACTCCCCCACACCCCCCAAAAAATCCAGATGGCTAATAGACACGTGAAAGATGCTCAGCATCACTCATTATCAGGGAAATACAAATCAAAACCACAATGAGGTACAATCTCATACCTGTCAGGATGGCTATAACTAACAATACAAGAAATAACAGGTATTGGTGAGGATGTGGAAAAGGGGAACCTTCTTGCACTGTTGGTGGGGATGCAACCTGGCGCAGCCATTCTGGAAAACAGTATGGAGTTTCCTCAAAGTGTTAAAACAGAACTATCATATGATCTAACAATTGCACTGCTAGGTATTTACTCAAAGGATATAAAAATATAGATTTGAAGTGATACATGCAGTCTGATGCTTATAGCAGCATTATCAACAAAGCCAAACCATGAAGAAAGCCCAAATGTCCATCAGCTAATGAGTGGATAAAAAAATACATGAGACATACACACATACTGGAATATTACTCAGCCATCAAAAAGAATTAAATCTTGCCATTTGCAAGAACATGGATTGAGCTAGAATGTATTATGCTAAGTGAACTAAGTCAGACAAATACCATATGATCTCGTGTGTATGTGGAATTTAATAAAGAAAATAGATGAACATATGGGAAGGGGGTAAGGAAAAAAAGGAGAAAGGTAAACAAGCCGTAAGAGACTATTAATGACAGAGAACAAACTGAGGGTTGATGGAGGGAGTTGGTTGGGGTGGGTAGATGAATGATGGGTATTAAGGAGGGCATTTGTTATGATGAGCACTGGGTGTTATAAGTGATGAATCACCTGGATTCTACTCCATAAATCCATATTGCACTATATGTTAAGTTTGTAAAATCCAAATTTAAAAAATGGTGTGATATACAAATATGTAGATTTATATATATGTGTATCACATATATCACATATATATTATATATATATCACATATATATTATATATGTATGTATCTGAGGGTCTTAATGATAAGGAAAAAACTTAGGGTTGCTGGAGGGGAGGTGAGTTGGGGGATGAGGTAAATGAGTGATGGACATTAAGGAGGGTACTTATTATATTAAGTAATGAGCACTATTGTATGCGAGGGATGAATCACTAAATTCTATCCTTGAAACTAATACTATACTATGTATTAACTAACTCGAATTAATATAAAATCTTGAAAGAAAAAAAAAAAGCAAAACAGACATAGCAATCCAAACTTGAGATTTTGTGTTGGTATCTTACTCAACTTTACACCTATTTGGTGATGGTAGTAACAGACTTGAGTTATACTGTGGAGAGGGAGCTGAGGGGCTCTGGAATAGGCCATACAGGAGTCAATACTCTCACATCAGAGACTGTGGAGTAGAGTCCTCAGAACTGGGCAAGTTCTTGCAGATTCCTTCAAAAAATTCAACACATATTCTACAAGACATTTGAGTGCCTAACCTAAATGACATTGAAAGGTATCCAGTTTCATATCCTCAGAAGAAAGACCGCAACTAACAGAGGAGGGAAATTGCGCACCTAATTAAGTGAAACCCATCTTTCTAGCTTCAGCTCAGTGGGAACTATAATCAAAGGAGGTGGATGGAAAGGAGAAGGAGACTGTACTTCTTCCCTGTTCTGAGTCAGTGGGCCTGAGATTGATTGCTAAAATGGAGTATTTCAAGAGGAGTGGCCTGAGGGTTTTTAATAGTTTAAAATGACTAAAAATTATAGGTTCTACCACAAATGTTAATGGGTAAGGTAGAGATATGTGTCAGAGACCATGCCCATGGCCTTCTGAGTGCAGACTTTTTAATAAACCAGTCATAAATGTTCAAAGCATCTTGAATTTAACATGCACAAAACTGAGGTCAAGATTGCCTCCTCTAAATCTGCCATTCTGCCTGTCTTATCTAGATCAGTAAGTAGCCCCATTCTCCCAGTTGCTTTGGCCCCAAACCTGAGAATTATCTTTAGTTCTTTTCCATTTAAACTCACATTCAGTGTAATGGCAGAATCTGTTGGCTGTACCCCAAAAATACATGGAATGTGGAGACTTCTCCCCACCTTCACCCTTATCACTATGCTTCTTGTCACACTCACATGTAACTGGTGGTTCTTTAATTCCAGTCCTACTAACTGGTCTTCCTGCTTTTTCTTTTGAGCTCCTTGCCCTTGTCACTCTCTGACAGTTAATTCCCCATACAGTAGTCAGAGAGATGTTATAAAATTATAAAGCAGACATTATGACTCCCTGTTCAAACCCACTAGTGGGTCCTCATTATGGCTGGAATAAAAATCTACCACTTTTTACCAAGGACTGCAAGGCCTCACATATGTGGCCTGTTTCTCTGACCTTATCTTCTACCATCCCCCATCTTTCTTTTCATCTATCTACATTAGAATATGCATCCCTACAGCAGAACCTACATCCTTGTTCTTTTGCTTGAAACACTCTTTCTCCCCTCTATATACCGTCTTTCTCCAGTCTTTTCTGTTACTCTGCTTATATTTCTTCATGGCATTTATCTGAAAGTAATTATATGTTAATTTGTTATTATTTGCCCGTTTTTATTTCAAACTGTTAACTTCTTGAGTGTAGTGGTTTTTTCCCCACTATTATATTCTCAATGTCTAGAATAGGCACCCAGTATATTTTTGTTAAATGCATTACTATCTCTGAAGATTTAAAGTTTATTATTTTATTTCTTTCAGATTGCTACAGCTGTATTTCTTTGGGTTGAAATTCTCCAATTTATTGGGGCTTGTGAAATGTCATTTTGGTGCTGGGTTTCTTCATGCATTTCATAAATTTTTGGTGTCTCTTATTCCTTGAGAATTAGCTTTGTGGGTCATGTTTTATCCCGTGGATATTCTGCTGTAGTTCCCTTCTTATGGGGAGTTTTTGTGTTTTTTATTACCTTAGCTGACAGGGTGCAGCATCACCAAACCAGATCTCAAGTGTTTTGGCTTGGGATCCTGTACAGCATGGATGGCACACTTCCAGCAGGGCTTGGAGCCCTGAGCAGATTAGGTCTGGTGCTGTGCAGGTGACTTTGTTTTCATGGCTAGGGCAGATATGTAGGGTACTTTCTGATCCCAGCTTTGCTCAGGGAGTCTCAATTCCAATTCTTACCATTCTGGGTTCTGAAATCATTCTACCCTCCAGCCCCTCTTTATTTATACTTAAGCTTAGCTGTGTAGTTTTAATAATAATAATAATAATAGTAATTAATAGTAATAAACAAAGCAGGCAAAACCAAGCCAGCCAGAAAGAAGGTGGTGTATTCTCTAGTGCCTTTGGCATATGTTTCTATCTCCTCCCAATCTCGTGAGTCTTAGATTTTAAAATCTCTCCTTCCGCCCTTTCTGGTACTTCCACTGAAAAGGACACTAAATTCTTCACTTTAGGTTCTGGATTATAATTTCCACCTGCAAAATCAATAGTGCCTTTTGCTAAACTCAGTTGTTCCCAATTATAGGGCTTATTCCCAAACATGGACATCTGCAGTTTCCAACCTCATCCTTGGGTCTGCTCCATTGACCCTTTTGACTCAGTATTTCATCTGGCAGTGAGACTATATAGCTGGTCAGTCTCCTTGTTCACAATTCAGAAAGAACATGTAGAATGTCTATGTTAACAGTTCCAATTCTCCCTCCTCAGATACTAATCCTTGTGTCTTAACATTATTGCAATTGTTCAAAAGTTAGTATTACAAAATATAATCAGAATGTGTTTAGATGGAAATAGAGGGTTATATAAGCAAGTTTGCAATCTGTTAGAGTGATCCATGGTTTAAAAATTAGGAAATTTTATCTAAAATCTGGATTAAGTGAGATGTTTTGACACCTCTAGTTCTGTATTCTTGCATGGAGAAATCGGCTAGACCTGAGCAGCAGCTACCCTCTTTAGACTAAACATGATCTTTTTACTGTTTCTAGGTGATGTGCTTCACCTACTCATTTGTATTATCTTCCTGGGCTCCACTGGCATCTGAATTTTTAAAGTCTTGACCAGAACTTTGGGTTTTAATAGTAATATAATTTAATTTCAATCTGAGGAACCCCAAAGGATATTGGTATTGCATAAAAATCATTTGTAACATAGATATGAGGACCAGATTTGAATAATGGAAAATTTGAACATAGTGTGTAATGTGGTTTCATGAATTCTATGTTAAAGATCGCCATTGTCAGTATTTGATCTGGTTTAAATATTGAATCACTGTTGGTGTCTGTTTCCTGGGAAATTGAGTTAGGAATGGAAGTAATGGGAACTCTTGTAGTTATGGATCAAAAAGATGGTCTGGTAGTCTAATCTGGAAGACTTGGGTAATGTGAAAGCAAACAAATATGAGAAACATGAATCTCAATCTTTTGTACACTTTAGGAATAGAATATATCTTCTTGGGAAAAATCTCACATTTGACAGGCTGAGAAGTAAAGAACTTACTTGAGGTTCTCTGTGAAATCACTAAAAAATAAGCAAAAAGAAAGCCATGTAATTTTTCTTAAATAGAGTAAATATAGTATTATCTAACATTTTCCCCTGGTGTCTCTGAGGGGAGTACCTGGGTAGACATAAGAAGAAAGCATACTTTGAGGGAACACTCAAAATTCTTTCTCCAATTAAACATTACTTTGGACTTCCTGTTTGTCTTTCAAAAATTTTGGCTACCTCTTATTTATATTTTTCAGGTTTTTTTGTTGTTTTTGTTGACATATGCTACTTCTTTTCTTTTCATCAGTATATTCTTAAATTATCTATAATGTAGGGGAAGCTGTGTAGTAAGAAAGCAAGAGAGCAATGAGAAACTCAAATCACTTTAAGAAACTTTAAGACCTGAGAACCATAGTAGAGAAACAGAATACTTACTTATGGGAGGCGGGGGCACACCTTTAAAAAAAATTAGATATCAGTGAGTAATTATTTGAAAGGAACAAGTTTCCTTCTAGGGAAGCATATTTGTGTGAGGAAGAAGTTTGGTAGTCACATGGCTCTTGGTTCCAACTATGGTTCAGTGAATTGTGTTCCTGGGCAAGTATGTGGCTTGGTTTCTTAGCCCTTAAAAGAGTTGATTTACTCCAAGGATTAAATGGGATATAATGTAGTTAAAGCACCTGTATAGTTCTTATCACTGAGGAGATGCAAATTAAACAAATGTTTGAAATTAAATGGAAGTTTACTTCACAGAATGAGCAGAAGGCAAAGTAATGTGAGAGCTGAGTGTCTGGCTGCTGCACAGGAGTTAGAAATGAGTAGGGCAGAAATAGTTCTGTAGGCCATGTAGAAGACAACAACAGAAAATAGTAAAAAACAAACAAACAAAAAAATCCACAAAAACCAAAACAGACTGAACTTACCTCTGGGCATTGAAGGTGGTGGACCAGCTGAAAGACAAAGAAGTATTTTTGTAAGCCTTTTCTCTTCCACTCTTTCTCCCCCCTCTCGGTTTAGAGTTCTTTCTCATTAAGTCATTATAACAATAGGGAAAATGTTCCCTTTGGTCTTTATTTACTTTCAGTGTAAATGAGCAAGATTTGAACTTTCAAAATAAATTAATAAGCATGTAATTTGTCCATGGAAAGGCTAGTGGTTAAGGAAGTATGTAACCATGCGCAGAAATCCCAGCATAGCCAGGGAAAGAAGCTATGGGACTCCATGGTGGAGGAAACATGGAAGGACTTACTGAGGGCAGGTGGAACTGATCCAACTGGAAAACAGAACAGAGAAAATTGTTACCTCCATTTCCTTTCTTCCCCATTCAATTTGTTTTGTCCCTTGTAACATGCTATTTTTAATCACCAGGAAGCCTTCACTTCTGATCTTCATTATTTATGTAAATCATGCAATTTGACTTTTTCCATAAAATTATTAAAAAACTAGGAGAATTATCCGTAGTTTGAATACAGGATGTCTAAGAAATAGGAACTTCAAGCCTCTAAAATCCCAAATGGTCGGGGAAATTGTCCTCAGATGTCTTGGAATTCAAATGTGGAAAAACAAACTGGGTAGGTAGGGCAGGAGGTCCAAATGAAAAACTGTTTTAGAAACTTCTGATCCCCTCCTTTCTCTTCCATCATTTTTTTCCTTTTCTGTAGGCAGCCCCTTGGTGGTCCCTGTAACTAAGCAAAACTTTTTTTCTCCCCTGTTTATGTAAATCCATACTGTTAGAACTTTCTCCTGAATCATGAATCACCCAGAGGGACTTTGATAATGAAATAGCAAGGGACCGTGAGGTACCTCAAGCCCTTTGCACAACAACATGGTCAGATAAAGACTCTTGGACCCCACTAAAAGCCAGTTGAGTCCATGGCAGAAAATTAAATGAATACACAGACTTACTGTTTGTGTGACGAGTTGATCCTACTAAAATATAAGCAGAGACATTTCTTATTGCCCCCTGCTCATTTACTCTCCTACTCATTTTTTCTATTGGTAAATTTTCTAGTGCTATAACTGCTTGAAAAGTTTTTCTGATCAGGAGTATTTGAACTTTGCAGAAAACTTACAGTCAGCTGGTGGAATTCAGGTTAATGGAGAAGCAAACACTAAGAAATTAAGTTTCAAGTTCATGTACTAGAACTCAAATTTCAATAGACATTGCTGGACTTTGATTAAGTGAACAGCAAAGAAAAAAACAAACAACTTACTAATTGCTTATATAGATGACCCAGCTGGAAAATAGAAATATCGCCTGTATTTGTTTTTCCTGTTCATTTTTTTCTTCTGTATGGAAAGTCCCTGCCAATCTTTAGAACCATGGAGAAACCTTTTTCTCTGCTCTTTAATTTTTATGTGACTCTGTGAACATTTTAGAAACTTATTAATAACTTAGTGGAATTCTGGGTAATGGGAAAGTAAGGGTCAAGGAAATAGGAGCCTTAAGCTACGGCTATCTCAATATGGATGGATAAATTTTTGTTTAAGTAGATCTGTTAGTGCTGGAGATAATTGAGTTCCATCATGAAGGGAGACAGTGAAACTTACAAGAGGATCCTGTAGCTGAAAAACAAAAAGAGAAGTTAGTGTAGAAAGACTGATGAAAAGAGGAGTTAGTTTTCTTGCTCGTTTTCTGAGAGGGAGTATCAGAAATGTTCATGGAGGGAGCATCTAACCCTTATAGATGTTGTGCACTGTGCTGGAGAACCCAGCTGCCATCATGCCTTGTGGGATTCTGCCTCCTGCTTAGTCTGAGAGGCTTCAGGAAAGAGAGTTATTTCTTTCCTTTTTGCAGTGAGTGGTAACTGCTTCAAATCCTACAGGAGATTGGTAATTTAAACTGTGCTGCTTTTACTTTCCTACTCCCTGTTTCTGCCACTCTGTGCAAGCTTTCATTCATTCATACAAATGTCCTCCCCCACCCTTGTTGACAGATAGTTTCCTCTGATATTTTTATGTAATATAGTATATCTATTTTAAGTTTTTCGGGTTATTAAGTGGGGTTTGTATTCCTCTTCATTCATTCATTCCTTGGGTGGGGATGCAGGCAGATAGTGGAATAAGCAAGAGGTGGAGAAACATGAATATCTATACCCACAAGACAGAAGCAAAGGATTGCAGACCCTGCAGGAAGCCAAAGGCAACTACTGTATAAGAACAAGTGTGGAACTTACTAGTCATTTCTGAAGTTTCACCTGGTGGAAAAATGGAAGGGAAAGAAAAGGGAGTAATCAGTGTGTGTAGAACGAAGAGAACTCAGTTCTTCCATGATGGGGTTGAAAGGGTAACCACAGGGAGGATGCAGGGAACTCTAAAACCTTCCTGTTAGCTCAGTGCATCATCTGGTCTTAAGCTCCTACCCCCATGCTTCACATCCTCAGGTCTTTTGCTGGTCTGGGGCAGGAGCATGGCTGTCCTCCTTCCTTTCCATCCCTTTTCAGGGCGCTTAAACTCCATGGCACCAGAGATTAACCAAATCTTCCTCTCTTATTCATGAATTTATTTTGAAAGTATATTTATTATTTATTTTTATTATGTTCAGTTAGCCAGCCTATAGTACATAATAAGTTTTTTGATGTAGTGTTCATGACTTCATCCCTAAGCCTCAGCTTGGCTTCTGATACAAGAGCTCAGCTAGTTGAAGGAATGTTTGAGTATATCTGACTTGCCTTCTGATAATGTCCTCTTGTTTGGCTTAAACTTTGGAATGTTGTTTCATAATTTCCAGACTCAGAATTTACAATGACTTGAGTTTGGTTTATTTTGACATCCTAGAATTTGACATTGGTTTTGCCCTACCTAGTCACAATATTAGGTTACCCTTCACTCTCTTTCATTTATAGTTTGTAGTTGTCTGATGTATCTGGCAGTTCCTATAATTGCAGCCCATCTACCATCATATCCTGTTCCCTGAAGGGGTGTGTGTCTGTGTGTGTGTGTGTGTGTGTGTGTGTGTGTGTGTGTTAGTGTTTGGGACAAGGGGCAGGATAGGACGTGGTAGAAAAGATTGGGGAATTCTGTGCAGACTAGAACCTTAGTATTATTCTTTGGTGCACTTTTCCCAGGAAACTTGGAAGAAAACTGATAAGACCTCAGTCTATTTAAATTTGATTGTTTTTCCCTTCTTTTACATTTATTTTAAAATTTGCTTTCCTTTTTTAAAATTTTCTTTATATTGTCTCTGTTGTCTTTGAAGAGGCCCTTTATGAACTACAAATTATTTCAGAAGTAAAAAGTTACCATTATTCTTTCTCTATTACTTTAGAAAATTCTGTATTATTATAGAAGCCATTATGACCATTACTGGGGACATTTTCTTACTTTTTTTCTTAAGAAATAACTTTAGGGAATTCTCAGCAAATGAAACTGAGATGCATGAAAACATGTCTAAAACCACTGTCCTTATGGTAATAGATACATTTGGGACAGGGGACAAGCCCTCTATACACTGTAGAAGATCAAAGAAAACACCAGAGGAAAAAGATAAGAGACTTACCACTGGGCCCAGTATATTGCACTAAAAATAGAAACAAACAAATTATTGTGGTTGTTGAACATGATAAACACACATACCACTGTTTTCCAAAGGAAAACAGTTAAATACCTTGCCAGAATTACTAAATCCCAGTCACCAGGATTAAATATTTTTACTGGACTGTATCCTCACCGTAAGAATCAGATCTTCCCTTGGAGACTTGTAACCCTGTTTTAGTTAGAGGGAGAAACATTTCATGCTTGTTTTTAACTACTACAGGTATTTTTGTGTTTTTTTTTAAAGATTTTATTTATTTATTTGAGAGAGAGATCACAAGTAGGCAGAGCGGCAGGGAGAGAGAGAGGGAAGCAGGCTCCACGCAGAGCAGAGAGCCTGATGCGGGGCTTGATCCCAGGACCCTGAGATCATGACCTGAGCCGAAGGCAGAGAGGCTTTAACCCACTGAGCCACCCAGGAACCCCCTACTACAGGTGTTTGAAGTGTAATCTTTATTGTATGCCTTTCCCTTCATTTACCCCATCTTTTTTCTTTCATGTCACTGTTTTTCACTCTCTTGGCCTTCCTTCTTTTGTCTTCTTTCTCATTTCTATGTCTTCCCCCAGATTCTCTCTATTGCATCTTTGCTTTGGAACATTCTTCTAATGTATACTGACAAACTACCATAATTATTTTTTTAAGATTTTATTTATTTATTTAACAGAGATCACAAGTAGGCAGAGAGGTAGGCAGAGAGAGAGAGAGAGAGGAGGAAACAGGCTTCCTGCTGAGCAGAGAGCCTGATGTGGGGCTCGATGCCAGGAACCTGGGATCATGACCTGAGCTGAAGGCAGAGGCTTTAACCCACTGAGCCACCCAGGTGCCCCTACCATAATTATTATTAGAAAAGTGTTATGCTACCTATTATGAATTTGAGTAATATGTATGAGTTGATGTATATATAGGAAACTTACCAATAGGTCCTGGAGTTTGCACTAAAAAGAAATCAAGATTGGGGTATTAGTATGACTGTTTGTATGAAGAATACATTTTTCATTAATTTTATTCTGGGGTGGGGCTTTGGGAGGTAGAAAAGAAGTGATAACTTAGGGAGAACTAATCCAAGTATGATAAATACATAGCAAAAGAGATATTTAGCATATATTACAACTCAACCTGAGATGAGGATCTCTCTAGAATCACTGTCAACCTAGGAGAGGCTAGAGACATTAAAGATATAAACTTTGTATTTTTCTTTGTATTTTCTTTCCTGTCAGTAACAAAAGATGGTGCTCTTTTAAAGGACCACCCCATACCAAAATATTTCTATTTGCTATTTCTATTTGCTAACTAATATGCTCTAGGGTAGGCATGAAGGTGGGATGTAAGGATATAGTCTTCTCAGTTTCCAGTTTACTGACTACTGCTTTGATTGGCTTGTGTCTCTGGGAAAAAGTCAACAAAACCTTCAGTTTTTAATGAGAATTTGGCCTTCAGTTGATTTTCTAGTTCTGACTAAACCTGCTATCTTACTTGACAACATTCCTTTAATTTACGAATGATCCTTGGGCCACCTGGGTAGTTCAGTCAGTTAAGCACCTCACTCTTGATTTCAGTTCTGGTCATGACATCAGGGTCACGAAATTGAGCCCCATATTGTGCTCCATGCTCAGAACACAGACTTGTTAAGACTCTCTCTCTCCCTCCCCTCTCCCTCAATTACTGTCTCTCTAAAATAAATAAACAAATAATAAATAATAAAAATTAAAAAAAAATTAAAAATGTAAGGAAGAATGATTCTTGTTGATAAATTGCATGTGAACTGGGAGAACTATAAATACCCTTTAGAAAGCCATATCTTTGGGCTTCCCTAAGTGTAGTGACCGTGTATTTGAGCATGTTCCTTATAGGATCCCTGCAGGTTATGTTGTGGAGTTCTTATAGGATATTTTGGTTCTTGGGCTTCTAACTCCAAGAAACTCCTATGGGAGGCAATGGGTGCCTGGGTGGCAATGCAGACACTTGCATAGACCACATTAAGGACTACTGTCACAGACAAGAGGTGGTTGATGCTGCCCTAGTGGCAAGCTTTGTTTCCTTCCTTAAGTCCCACTGAGTAGCCTGGTGAAAGCTGGGATTATCTTGTGAGTCTGTATGGTTAATTGAGTCTAAAAAGACCACCCCGCCTTTCAGTGGGCATTACATTATCTTTCTTCTCCATAGCTCCTTGCTTCATGGCACTCATCATGGGAAATATCCCAGTTCTAACTCATAAGTCCCCAAACCTTTAACTCTGAATTTTTTTTTCCATGTAAAAAAGCTAGAAGGTAGATTACCAGTTGTGGATATTGTAGGCCATGAATTGTAGACAAGCTAGAAGTTTAGGTATTTTGCAAAAGTAATTTAATATTTGCTTGACTGTATCTATTTTTAAAAAGTGCCCTTGATCCTGGATTAGAATTCTTAGGACATTTACCCTCTGGTATAAGCCACTAAAAATTTAGACATATAATCATTTCAAATATTATTTTGTTTTCTTTGTTTTCCTGTATGTTCTTACTCATTCCTTTTTTAACTTGTGACTCTTTTGTAGACTTCTTTCACTTCTCTTTTTCAGCTTTATTTATATTCATTTATTCTTTTTTCTTCTCCTGCCTCCAACTCAATCTCCTGCCTTCAACTTCCTTCCTACTTCGTTCCTTTTAAATTTCTCTTGATTTTTCTTTTTAACATATACCTTTATTGTTATTCTTTGTATTGCATTTTCTCTCATTTTCTCTCACTTTCTCTCCCCATAGGCATTTTTGTCCACTATTCTTAATATTATAAGTGCATTGTATTTCTAACTAAAAACCTTTTGAACACTCAAAATGGTAGTGGAAAGAACTCAAGAGTTAGCACAACTTCAGTTCTAACTTCATTAATCATCTTCCTTCTCTTATTTCTTTGAGGAATGACTTCTGAATCTCAATTTTTTCATCTCTCAAGATGGGTATAATACCCACTTTACCTACCACCATTGAAATACTGTGTAGAGCCAACAAAATAATGCATGGGAGAATCAGAAAAATGGTAAACATTACAGGAATCATATAGGGAGTGTTCACTTCAGCAGCACATATACTAAAATTGGAACAATACAGAGAAGATTAGCATGGCCCGTGTGCAAGGATGATATGCAAATTCATGAAGGAATCACACCAAGAGTGACTACATACAGATACAGGACTTACATTCATTCTGTCAGGCAAATATTTTTTTAGGTTTCTAATTTCACAAATTCCTAATTTTTGTTAGGAATCCTATAACCTAGTGTGTGAAGCAATAACTATTTGCTCTTAGTTTGTAAATATGTAATTATGGACAACTGTATCTTGGAACCTAACCATTATTTATAATGTTTCCATGGAAAAATGCAATAGGACAAGTTGCTAAAAGTTGGCAAAAATAAAACCTAACTATAGTGGACAGAACTTTTCATAGAAATTAGATAGTAAGAAAAACATAATCTAATAATTTAATCTAAGAACATAATCTAATAAAAATTATTTTCAGGGAAAGCAAGAAGTTTAGGTGTTATATTCCAAATCTTTATTACATGTTGGTTCTAGAAAGCTAGATTATAAAACTTAGAAAAAACCTCTCCTAGTGGGGGTTATTTTTTCACTTCATATTTCAGCTTCATAGTATCTTTTTATTTCAGAACCTGGGTGAATATAACCTCTAAGAATTCTGAGTGGGATAATGAGGCAGTGGAAAAACTTGATCTTGGAGTCCATAGGCATGAATCATTTGAAATAAAAATCAACAGAGCATTAGATGACTTACCAATGGTTTTTTGAGAGAGCTCTAGAAAAATAAACAAAAGGAAAGAGAAAAGAAATCAGTAGCTGCTCTCGGGCTCTGGAGCCCATAGTTCTCATTTGCATGCTTTTCCTGGTGAGAATTTGTGCCAGTAAACTTGGGCTCAGCTACAATGGGGTAGTAGGGATGTTGACTTTCTTCATGGATGCTAATACATATAAAGGCTTCCTTATCTAACGGATTCACTGAGAGGCTAAGTAGCAAAGGTACTAAATAGAAGTCATGCTTTTGGCCCATATAAACCCCGCAGAGGGTTGGAAAAATCCTTCTACATTTAAACTTAATTTTCTTCCTTTCCCCTATAATTTCACTTGTGTCTATCTCATTCTGTTTTTAAAAGTCCTTCATGTGACGTTGATAAGCCACTGGAAACTTTCAAGAGTTCATCTTCCACTTTATAGTTTGTGTTCGGTACTGGAATGTACATCCACATTATCATTAATGATTTACTGAAATGGTAGGTAGAAGACAACAAAGAGACCAAGAAAATGTGGACCCTAAACCACTGAAATCCCGACATAGAATCCAGGGAAAGGTCCCGAAGACACTATAGGAGATTAAAATTCTCTACAGTGAAGAATTGGGCAGTTAACTTACTGATAGGTCCTGTAGCTCCTGCTGAGAAACAGAAAGGGAAAGAGAGAGAAAGAGGAGTGGAGGGAGAGGGAGATAATCAGTATGCTTTATCACTCTGAGGGAAATAACCATTCTTCAACCCTTACTCTAGAGGGAGTGTCATAAGTAGAAATCCTAGTAACATCAAGGGTTGTTTGCATGGCAATCCTCAGACAGGCTCCGTGTTGTACAATATAGGGACTTCCAGGAATGGGACCTCCCCTTGTTTTCAATAATATTTGCAACCTTTAGAGGATTGCGATAAACTAATTCCATACTAATTCATAATGTCTCCTTTAAAAATTTCCCTCTCTGTCTTTTTTCTTTCATTCCATTAAGATCTCACTGTTATTTGAAAAGCAAACCTTCCTTTGCTGACAGGGCATTGTGACTGCTATTAAGAGAATCCTTTTCTATTTTCTTATGCTAGCCCATGGGCTTTGTAGTCTCTCTACTTCATGCATGGCTTCTTTGGAAACTGTGTAATAGGAATACTAGAGAAGTTGAGAAACATGGCATCAAGAAAGCAGGGCAGATCAGTACTTAAGATTTTATGGGTGAGAAATTAAAGGAACCAGAGTGCAGAAGCAAATTTGATACTTACGAATTGGTGCTGTGAATTGCACTAAAATACAAAGAAGAGGAAAATCAGCAGGTTTGATATTACCAGAATGCTCATGCCACCAGTATTTTTTAAAGAAACTGTGAAGCAGCTGAACCAGAGGGAGAATTACTACTGCATATCAGTAGATAATTTTAACAAAGAAGCCCCATAGCCCTCCCTCCAGATTAAGTCATTTGGCATTCATCTTAAATGAGAAAACTATGGCAGAGGGGAACATATAAAACTGGAGTTGAAGGTTGCCAATCTTTCCTTCACTTTCATTCCTCCTCCCTTTCCCTGTCTGCCCACCCAACACCCAGCTCTCTCAAAGGACTAACATTCCTGGGGTAAGTGGGATGTCAGTTCTGTGTTTTTTTTCCCATCACCACCTCCTCTTTTGTCTTTATCATGCTTATTCTTTTGCCTCCTCCTAGAACCACCTGTTCTTGGAGTGCTTCCTCAGTTTAAGGAAGACCACAAATAGTTATTTTAATTATTTTCATAATAATAAGGGGATTTTTTCCTCTGGTTTTAAATATTTATTTGTATTTCATATTATTTTAAATATGAATGATTTTACTTTCTCTTGTCTTAAACTCAGTGACAGTTCAGGGTGGTTTGTTTGTTTTTTTGTTTTTTGTTTTTTGTTTTTTTTCTGATGTCTTGAGCATCAGGAGGGGTCAGTAATTTAAATGTAATCATACAGTCAATTAGCGTGAGTAAGAAAGCCTGGATATAGAAAGAGCTCGGGTAAGGAGAAGTCCCATAGCTCACAGAACACCAAAGAGTGTTAGAGTTAAGAAACAGAAAAGGAACTCACTTATGGGTCCAATGGTTCCAGCTAAAACATGAGAAAAACAAGACAGACTAATTAGAATTGTTCTTCTGCACAGAAAATTTAGTTTGCACTGAAATTATTTTGGGGAGAACATCATAAATGCAGACACAGGGAACAAAATTTCTACTTCAGAAGAAGAATAAGTACATTTTTTTCTTCATTCACCACCATGGAAGATCCCCGTCACACTGGTATCTGACAGCTGGAGTTGCAGGGATGCAGTTCTCAGGGTGCCTTTCCTGATGGATCACTGAAACTCAGTAGATTCCACAAGCCGTTGCTTTTCTTCCAGCTGGGCTAATTTGAACTTGTTTAGCCAGAACCTATGGCCTCATCTTCTGAAGGAGACAGTGGGAATTTCTGTCTCCTGTGGGTGACCTCAGCTCCCTTATTAATTAGAGTAATTTGGCCTGCAATATCTAAGCATAAAAGGGAATAGGAACTCTCAGATGGCTCAAGATTTTCATAGGTGCAGTTGGCTGGTAAAGAACTTGAGGCACTAGACCCACATGCTTACCAATAACAGCCTTCTTTACAAACACCATACATACAGACAGCTCTCTGTACCTCTAGGGCTACATGTGCTTTAGTGACACTCCCCCAGTGTTTATTCTTGATTGACTTTATTTTAATCAATTTTCATATGTATAAATGCACCAGGAAGAGCAGACTCAGCGTGTGATTTGTCATGAGCTCGAATCCTCAAATTATTCTTCTTCCTTTAGTGTTGCCCGTGCCCTAGGAACATTCTCAGAAGTGATGGATTAGAAATACGTTACTAAATGAATGAACCCTTGATGAGTTTCATTTTTCTTGTCATTGGCTTTAAGGTTACTCTTGCTATGGAGAATCTGAAGGGATGGAAGACCTGGTTAAACTTGGATCTAGTGCACTCAAATTTTTATTTCTTTTCTAGCTATAAGGGATTGAAACTCTGTTAGTAATGGTTCTAAGGCACCCGGGGATTTTGTTAAAAATGCAGATTCTGATTTAGTGGGTCTTAGGTGGAGATTCTTCACTGCCAAGAAACTCTAAGGTGAGGCTAATGCAGATCCCTGGGCCCAATTTAAGCAACAGGCCATTAAGTGGTAAAATCTCAGAACACGTATAGGACACTGTTTACATTTATGATTTTTTTTCTCTTCTGTGTCAACTGTCTCTCACTCATCCCTCATTCCCAGTGTTTCTGCCAGAGATGTTTGTTGTAATGTCATTAAGATGCTACCAGGACATTTCTTCCAGACTTAATCTTTGTTTACAGTGGGGGACCCTTAGTCAGTGAGCTGGGACTTGCTGCTCTCTTCCTCTGAGTGTGACTGTGATTTCTAGCAAGGGACCGTCCTACCTTTCTAACACTTTTATTCTTAACACGTTTCCCTTGCCAATTGAGTCTCAAGATTTTGAGAAATTTAAAAGTAATAGTACTTCCTCAGAAGGCTCCCAGCTTATTAAAATAAGAATAGGGAATAAAGAAGGAGAAAAGAATTGACAATTTGTGCAGGAGGAAATAAAATCATCCATGAGTAGCAGAGTCTTACATATTCTAAAGTGTAGTAAAACAAAGCACATGGGAATTAAAGCATAGGAAAGGAACTCACTTATAGGTCCTGCTGAGCCTGCTAAAATACAAACACAAAGAGGTAAGTCTGGAGAGAGCATGACTGAAAGATGTACATTTCAGAGAACTTCAGGTCAAGCATTTACTACATTATTATATTTACGTGGAAAGCAGGAAGAAGTAAGTCTGGCTTCCCTCCTCCCCTTTTTTTCCTTATTTAAGAGACTCTTAAAATCATATTTCCTACAATTATTGTTCTTGTTCTCAATTTTTACTATTTTCCTATTATCAAATCCTTCTAAAATTTTCTGTTTGATTTTGGTAAACAACTTCATCCAACCACAGAATTTTTCCTTTCACCTATGAATTAATTTTATTAGCAGAGTTTCCACTTTGCTAAATAAGAAAATTGTCACTTAGAGGGATCCTGAAATCATCCTCAAGTTCCTCACACTGGTAAAGGAAAAGGAGAACAGTAAAATAGTGAGATGTCTCCTTTCCTCCTCCTTTATTTGCCTACTTAACCTCTGCTCCAGCCCACCCAACCAATAGTAGGCACTTTGTAGAAGACCAAACAAAAACAAAAACAAAACAAAAAACAAAAGAACAAACAAAACAAACAAAAAACTGGAGTTAAAAAATAAGAGAAACTTACATAAAGGTTCTGGAGTTACTTTGAGGGTTTTTGCATCACCTGTGATGAAAAATGACGAGAACTATGAGAGATAAAGTTTGTTTAAGCAAAAAAAAAAGAAGACAAGTATAATGTCATCTCAATTTAGACTTTCAGAGAGCATGAAATGTAGGCAATCCTACTCCTTCCTGCCCACTTGTGTGGTACAAACAGTCTTGAGATTAAAGATCCAAGACTGGGGTCATTTGGGTGGTTCAGACGGTTAATTTGGCTCAGGTCATGTCCTCAGGATCATAAGATCAAGCCCTGTGATGGGGTCAGTGTGGAGCCTGCTTAAGATTCTCTCTCCTTCTCCCTCTGCCCCTCCCCATTCTCTCCAGCACAATCACTCTCCTTCTCAAATAAATAAACATCCAAGACTAGAGAGTCCCAGCTTCACTACTCTCTAGTTTTGTGACTACATAAGTCACTAAACTTTCAAAACATTACTTTATCTTTAAAATGGAAATTATATCTCCTTTCTTAGAGGCATGGCTACAGTGAAAAATCAAGAATAATAATGGATAGGAAAGCTGATAAATACTTTCAGAATTGTTATGAAAAGAACTATTCAGTGACTACAAAGGAATGAAACTCTTATGCAAAATAGGAAGTTTTCATTTGTTTAAAGTCTTCAGCTCTAGCTTACTTCTTTTCTATTTTCTCTATTTTTCCCTCTTACACCTTTTATTGTCATTTGGAAAACTCTGAATGCCGGTGACAGGGCATTTTCATGAGCCCTTCACTGTGTTGTTGTTTTGGTTTGCTGATCTGTGTGATTTCACTCTTTAAAAAAAAATCCCTTTTATTCCTTGGTTAGCTCAGTACCTTAATTATACCCATTGATGTTCCAGTGTTATTGGCAGCAGTGGAGAACCATGGCTTCTTCCTTGAGAGGAACCAATCTTACTTTAAGATGTCAAGACCTCTTTACTGAAACAAGTTTATGTATGTGATGAATTAATTTTCCCATGGAATTTCAAAGGTTTTGTTTATGTGTGAAATTATGATTTGAAGTTTTAGAACCTACTTTGGACTTCCATTTTCCTGTTCTGGAAATTTTTGCTGAAATTCTTCCTTCTTATTGTTTTCTTCTCCACTCTTTCTTCTTTTACCTATTCAAATCTTTTTTCCTTATGTAGTTTTATTTCTCTACTGAATGTTGTTTAAGGGCCGATGTATTTTTAAAAATTATATTTAGTAAGAAAGCTTTTAGGCAGTTAAAAATTTGCAGCTTATTTCTCTTAAAATTATTTCGTTTTTACTTGTATATTTATGACTCCATTTTTGTTTGCCAGTTTGTTGAGTTTAGGGGGGAAATAGTAGCTTTTCACAGAAATGTTAACTTGGGAAGAGATTCTGCCTTTTCTAGGTGCTATAGACTAAGGTAACAAACTGCCACTTCCACTACCAAATAAAGATAATTTATAAAAGATAGCACCCATATACTTAGGATTTAAGAATGTTGACCCATATTAGGCATGATGAATATATTTGAGTTAATAGGCTAATTTGGATCAATTAGTAGCATTGATTAGTAGCATCCCAGGACATGAAAAAAATTTTAGATTGTATGTGGGCTGAGCAGGAAAGAGAACTATGATCACCCATGGGCACCTGCCACAGCAAAGGTATACAGAGAGGAACATATATCATATATTTTTGGAAATTTTTGAACTTAGGGTTCTATAGTCTTGTCCAATTTAAGACAAATAATTATGCATGACAGTGAAATGTTTCCACTTACTTTCAAAGTGAAGAAGCAGATAAAAATCTTAATTGTAAGACTTGAATATCCTGCCAAAACACTTAAGTATTATGTATGTTTAGATTAAGGGCATAGCTTCTGTGGACAGTCTGCCTAATGAGAATATCAAAATTAGTTATCTTAGAGAGTGCCAAATTTTCCACTCTAAATGGAAATCCTGGTTGTCTGTGTGGGGGTCACATGCCCAATTGCCTCAGCAAGTCTCATGAGTTGTGAATCTGTCAGTTTAAGGGGATAGTGAGGAAGTTGGGTACTTGAAAAGTGCACCCTCTATCTAGAAGCATTTATGTTCAGAGTTTAAAATAATGCGATGCTGGTCAACCAGAACACATGTACAGGTGGCACTGGGCTAGTGGTTGCCAATTTGGGAGCTCTACTTTGGAAAAGGAAGGGGTTTAAGTGAGTAGCCTACATATTTCAACAATAGTAGAGTGTGAGAATCACATCACCACAGATTGTGGCCTGCATCAAGATAGACCAAATAAATTCCTTTGTTTCACTAATTTAATCATAGGTGTTGGTTGGGTCACATTTAATTAAAACCTGTAATTCACAAACTTGTTCAGGTTGTGAAGCACCTGGAAGTTGCGATATTTTTAGAAAAATCATGAAATCATGATTTTTGAGCAAGAAGTAATTTTACTCATTGTGACCAAAAATATAATATTCAATATGAAAAATTTTATCAGAAGCATATAGCTCAGAAGAAAAAAAATCTGTCAACCAGGATTATCTCTTTTTAAATTTTTAAAATTTTTTGTGTCACTTTCCCTAATTCCTTACTTTTCTGCCCCTCATTCCTCTCTCTGTCTTCCTTTGTTTAGAAAATGTATTCATTTTGCTTTGGCAATAAATGGAAATCAGTTCCACTACACTGATTTAAGCCTTATCACCTCAATTTTCTTCTTTCTCCATTCATGTATTCTATATTCTCTCACTTTTCTGTTCTTTTCTGTTAGTTTTTCAATTGGTAGTTGAAATTGTAACAGTTTAATGAGAAATTAAATAACTTGTCTTTGTTCAAAGAACCAGTAAATAGGGAGCTGTCATACAACTCTAGGCAGCCTGGCTCCAGAACCCTCATCTGTAACAGTCTCCCTGTATATTTATAATACATTAATTAACAACCAAACTTATTTTTAAAGTGGTTTTTAATAGTTCTTATTATGCTACTCGCAATTCATGGAGAAATAATGCATATTTTCAATAATGGGGTGAGCAGTAACTTATTCCCAAGGCCACGACCAAAGTAAATAGCATAATTTCCTTCTTTGTGGGGGTGGGGGGGTAATGTAGTTAGAAAGGGACACAGAATCCAGGGAGGGCCCGTTGGGATGGAAGAAAATCAAATTTGCTCTAGGAGGGAGAGGGAGTTAATGGAAAAGTACAAGGATCCAGAAAAGAGAAGTTATGGCTGCTGAAGAAAAGGTGGGGCTGGGAGTAGAGGTCCCATGACATAACATGAGTGCAGGAATTTGCTTGAAAGCAAGAAGGGGTGTGTCATTGTCTTGGAGAGAAAGGTGAGACAGGTGAGCATGGTGCAGGTAAGATAACTAATGAAGGAGAAAGTGGAGAATGATGAACCTCAAGTGCTCTCACTCTGACATAGCATATCTCCCCAGATAAGACAAGATATCCTCTGCCTAGTGTGGGAGCCCTATAATAACAAATTTTGAAAGAAGAAGAAAAACTTACTCATGGATCCTTGCAGTAATACTAAAGAACAATAACAAATATTCAAATCAGTTTAGAGTTAATGCTTTAAATAATCCATCTATTTCCCAGAAGTCTTTACAGAAACTGTACTCTCCATTCCCCAGTAGGCACATGGGTTACCACCGATGGATATTGAAGCTTCCTCCCCCTTGGACACTACCCAGGAGTGAAATTCTCAGGAAAGTCTCCAGGTTTACTGTATTTTCAATATTCTGATTTCATCCAGCACCTTTCCTTTCCCCTGTTTTCCACTCCTCCCTCTTTCTTTCTTTCCTCTTCTCAGTTTGGAGAATATCCTCTCCATGAAGTAATAGCTTCAAGAACTGAAGAAAGACAATGTTACAAAGGTTCCAATTTTATAACAAAAGAAGACGGAGGTGGGGAGAGTCTGTGCCTGAGTATGTGAAAAAAATATATGTAGTTTTCACCTCCAATTTTTCTGATTCAAAGTTCAATGCACTTTCCTCTGTACTGAATAGAGTTTTCTCTTTCTGTTCCTTCTGGAATATTCCTTTAAAAAATAAATTAACTTCTTCCTACATATTGACACACACACACTCTCTCTCTCTTTTGTTCTTTTTATTACTCTCTGGAGTGTTCCTCTTATTTAAAAAAAAAAAAAAACAACCTAAATAATAGGGAATGTTTCTGGAACTTTCAGTATTAAATCATGACAGTACTAGTAATATGTAAACTACTATAGCATGAACCCCACTATATTCAGTGGCAGAAGGCTGAGCATTTGTCTTATTTGCCTTATGGTGGAGGTTAAATTCCTGTGTGAAGTTTGATCTTAGATCATTTCCGTCATCTTTTTGGAAACTTATTTAACCAATCTCTAAAAAGACAAGATTTAACACTGCTCTGTTAGGTTCAACTTTTAATGACTCATTTAGTCTAAATCCACAAACGGAAGTCCTGTGTTCCTGGGCTTTTTATCCTTAGCTAATCAAATCTAGGATAATGGGGACACAAAAAGACTGACATTCTAAGTTTAGGACCTGCCTGGGAAGGGGAAGACAGGGAGAACAAGAGCCCCAGATATCAAGGATTCATGCCAGAGAAACAGTCAGAAACATGTGCAGTTCCCTTGTAAACTGTGCTAAAAGGACACACAGGTAAATTCATTAGGTCAGCTGTTTAAAGTCATCAGAGTTAAACCCCTTTGACAAGAAGCTTCAGGAAGAAGCTCTCCACTCCCTTCCCCTGTGATTTGGTCACAGAGAGTGGAAAGATCCTGTGCTTTGGTGCCGTGACAGAGGCCCAAAAGCCAGACAAAGGACTGGAGATGAGCAAGGAGGTCATTTATGTCTTCTTTGTAAAGGCTGAAACTCTGAAGGGAACGTGGAAGACGTTAAGTCTTGGTTAAACTTTCTTTAGTTGTCCTATGTACTCCTTTCTTTTCACCTCTTGCTTACTCATGTGTGTCTTTCCTGAATTGAGAAATAGAAAGGGACATAAATATTCTGGAGTTGACACTGAGGAATAATAGCAAAAATTCACGAGTTTGGATGAATAGTGTAAAAAGCTTATGATTCTCATGGAACTCTTTTTAGAGAAGCTGTCCAGATTAGTCTTCATGAGATACATACAGTGGGTGTTCAGATGCTAGAATGCTTGGATTTCAATTCTAATTCCTCTACTTACTACCTGTGTGACCTTGCACAAGTTATTTAATTTTTTGTGTCTTAGAGTATTCATTTTAAGTACAAAATTTATAGTAATATATAATTCATAGAATTGCTATGAAGGTGTAACACATATACTTCATCTATATTATAACGATAGTTTCAAATTTCAGTCCTCATCTACATATACCTATATACACCTGCGTGGGACAGATGGACCATAGCCTCCTTTGCCTCCGGCACTGTGCTGGTTTAAGATTTTCAGAGAAATAATAGAATCAAACTCTTTGTGCTTCTGGTTTGAGAGCCCTTCCCCAAGTTCCCGTAGTCCCCTGAGATGTCCTTAAGAATGACCTCTCAAGAGGGCCTCACTCATCCTCTAGGACCGCACAGTGTATTGATCTTCAGGGTTGAATGGCCCCATGCATCATTCAGCTAAATACTAAATATAATAACTAATTACTCACCTTCCTCTGAGATTAATCCCAACATGTGTCACATATCCATTTACCTTATTCACCATCAGAAGATAATTCTCATTTTAAGGAGCATATTATCATAATGATTAGTATAACTCCTAATCTGATTTTCTTTCTTACACTCTAAAATCCCATAAACCATGCTGTCTGAAATTACTATCAGCAGATTCCCCTGTATCTTTAATTTCTCCAAATGTTCTGTTCATCATTTTGTTTTAACAAGACCAATTGTCCTTTAAAGTACTATGCCTCTTGCAGCCCTCTGAGCAATGGTTATTTTTGATTCCATACTCATATACCACAGGGCCTTGAAATATTGCAGGAGAAATTGAAGACTTGAGTTGATTGTTTAACACATGTCAACCTGAAGATATTTGACTTTGTTCCTGTGGTAAGTTATTTCTGTGACTTAACTGGATGAAAACAAAGCAAAACTAAATAAAACCTGGTTTTATTATAACAGTAATGAAATATTGAGCTTGATGGTTTTCCAAGGTCATTATGTAAGATATAGATATATCTATATCTTACATATATATATTATATGTCTATGTAATAAAGCAACCTTATTCATCACATGCAGTTATGTCAGTAATGGACTAGAAAAATAATTTTGAGATTTAGATTAATTCACATTTTTTGCATTTTTAGATTACATATCAAAAATTGAAGTAATATTTTTTACATATGCATAATGTTCTAAATTTCATTTCAAGAAGATACTTTAAATTGAAAAAATAAATTTTAATGGTGTCCTGTGGATACTTGGACAAGCAGATGACTTAATTAAAAGCTCAGTGTATAGGGCGCCTGGGTGGCTCAGTGGGTTAAGCCCTGCCTTCGGCTCAGGTCATGATCTCAGGATCCTGGGATTGAGTCCCGCATTGGGCTCTCTGCTTGGCAGGGAGCCTGCTTCTTCCTCTCTTTCTCTACCTGCCCCTCTGCCTACTTGTGATCTCTCTCTGTCAAATAAATAAATAAAATCTTAAAAAAAAGAAAGCTCTGTGTGTAGAACCTTAGTTTTACCTTCTATGAACTATGTGCCTTTGGGTAAGTTAGATAATATCCTTGAGTTCAGTTTCTTATTTATAAGACCTGTGAATATGGATTCAACAAACCTGGTTTATGTAATTACAGCTGTCCCCCTTACTCTCATTCCCTGCCTTTTCACAACCTTCTTCTTTTCTCCTGTTTCTGAGCAAAAGAAGGTATTTTGTTTTGCTGAAACGCTCATAGCCAGCTAAAACCATTTGAATCTTCTCTGTATTCAAAATCGGTAGACTTTTCATTTTCCAAAGCTCTCATTAACTTCAGGTGAAATGATTGATTATAGAGAAGGAAGAAAAGTTGAGGGACAAGCCAGGCAGAGTTAGGGTATGACGCCCAGGTCTGTGATACACCAAAGGGAATTAGAGTTGAGAAAAAGGAAAGGAACTTACCTCTTTGTTCTCCTAAAAAGAAACACAAAAAAGTTTACGGGGTTGTCTGGCATTTTTTTTTTTTTTATTGCTACTTTTCATTTTGGGAATATCAGAACAGGGAACCCCGGGAACACCAACCCCTGAGTGTCAGCTGTGGCTCAGGGAGTTAGGAAATTATATATCTCCTCCATTGTTGCCATTCAAACCTGGGGATACCTTGAATTGAGTTGGAGAAAGGTAAAGGAACTTACCAATACTTGATCGAGACAGTGCTAAAAGAAAGCAAACAAGAGTGAGATTTGTGTATTTTAAGGATAATCTAAGATTACCTAGATTATGTATGAGGAAAAGGTTGTGGGAAAGAGAGCAGCAATGTGTCACATCTCATTTTCTATTACCAGGTACAATGCAGTGTGGTGGGCAGATGGACATCCATCTACGGATTATTTTTTGGACTTTTGTGTATTTACTTAGTAATACTCTTATGGCAGGGTAAGATTACAACATCTATGCAGCCTATCTTTTAATTTCTCTTAGTAAGTGAATAACAATGTTTGTGAGGATTGCTAGCTTTCTGGTCCCCAGAAACTTTTCTCCCTCTTTGACTTTCTTCTTTGTGATCCTGCTGCTTTTGTTCTGTTTCCGTCTCTACCCATATTTCTCCTCCTCCTCTTCTCTCTCAATTTTCTTTCTCTTTTTCCCCCTTTGAAAGATCTTTGCACCAAACTAATACTACATAACAGCTTCAACAGGGGATTTATACTTCTCAGAAATAATTTGTGTCCTGTGGAGATGCTCAATAACAATAAAACAAAATAAGGATGTCTCTAGATATTAGAAGATAAAGAGTCAAGGCAGAGAAAAGGCACTTGTTGTCAAGATGGATATATCACTCTCTCCTCTAACCACTTGGAAAAGTTGAGCGTGCTAATTTTTAAAGTTTTAAAACGTAAAGCTGAACTTGAAAACTAGAAGGAAAATTCTCTAAGGGCCATATATCAAGAAGGAGCCCATAATTTTGTTAGCAAGTGAGAAGGTTCATCACCCATATATCTTAATGGGAGGTTGACTTTTCAATACATGATCAGGAGCAAAAATTAAGGACACAGATCTCATGCTGTGGAAGAACATGGGACTAGACATTCTATATATCTAAGGCTCACAAAAACACTATCTGTGAGAAGGTCACTATTAATTCATATCTGTTTGTCAGGGTTTGCCAGGAAGTGATCTGTTTGCACAAGGCTATGGTATAATACATTTCAGAGAATATAAATCACACACATCTGACTGGTAAATCATAATACAATTAATAATCAACAATAAAAATAGCAAATGAACTTAGAATGAACTTAAATATTTACATTAAAAAATAAGAAATTCTGAAAATTAATGAAGGGTTTCACATAGTAAACTAGAAAAAGGAACTAAAATAGAAGGAAATGGGGTGCCTGGGTGGTTCAGTGGGTTAAAGCCTCTGCCTTCAGCTCAGGTCATGATCCCAGATCCTGGGATCAAGGCCCACATTGGGCTTTCTCCTTAGCCGGGAGCCTGCTTCCTCCTCTCTCTCTGCCTACTTGTGATCTCTGTCTGTCAAATAAATAAATAAAATCTTAAAAGAAATAAAATAAAATAGAAGGAAATACTAAAGTTTAAATGAGAAAGTAATAAAATAGGAAAAAATAATTAGTAGATATTCAACAAAACCAAAATTGATTTTCAAATAGAGTAATAAAAACAACTATCTCTGGCACGGATGAATGACCAAAGAAAGAAAGCACAAACCCAGTGATACTAGGAATAAAAAATAGCACATATCTAGGAGGTGCTCAGTCAGCTAAGGGTCTGCCTTCAGCTCAGGTCATGATCCCAGAGTCCTGGGATGGAGTCCCCATTGGGCTTCCCACTCAGGAGAGAGTCTGCTTCTCCCTCCTCTTGTGCTCTCTCTCACACTCTCTCTCTCTCTCATGTAAATAAATAAATAAATAAATAATAAAATCTTTTTTAAAAAATAGGACATATCCATAGATAGAGTGCACATTTTTAGAATCATAAAATACTTTTATGTCATTAAATTAAAAAAATAATTAAAATATATTCAGTACTTATTCTTAAGATTTTTGTTAGCAAACTAGAAATAGGAGTTTTCTTAACCCAATAAAATGGAACTGACAAATGGAAGCAAGCATCATGTTTAGTGGTGAAAACAGAGGCATTCTTGCTAAAATCAGATACCAAGAAGAATGCCTGTGATTATTGCTGGTGTCAGTGCTGGATATTTTGGATAAAACAGTAAGATAAGGGTAAAGTTTAAGAACTAAAAAGAAGACTCAAAAATTGTTAGTTTTTGCAGATGGGATTTTCTACATACAAAATCCAAGACTCTAAATTATTAGAAGTCTTAGAATTCAGCAGGGTGGCTAGGTACAACATCCACTCTCAACAGTACAACATACAACTTATATAGCAGCAGTAATCGTCTGTAAAATCCAATAGAAAAAAAATCATTCACAACAGAAACAAAAACAAATATGTGCATAGTAATTAATCTAACAAAAGGTGCTCCAGACCCTTTAGAGAAAATTATAGAACATTACTGAAGGGCATATAAGAAGATTTGAGTAAGATACATTATCATATTAATGCATCAGAAAAATTGATTTTATAAATCTACAGACTCAATGAAATTCCAATGAAATCCTACTGTGACTCATACAATCTTGAGAAATGGACTAAATTTTGTGTAAAAATTAAGGTCCAAGAATAGGCAAAGCATTTCTGAAACAACAACAGAGAGGGAAAAATGTGTCATTCCTCATGGTAAATGTCATAAAGCTTTAGAAATGGAAGCAATTTAGTATCTGTTGAGCAAAAGACAAAAGTTCACTAAGACAGAAAATCCATGGAAAAATTAAGTGTAAGATAAAAGAGGTATTACAAATCAGTGGGTAAAGAATGCATGAGTCAATAAATTCAGTTGGAACAATTGGTTTTTCAGAAGAAAATTAAGCCCCGGGGAGCCTGGGTGGCTCAGTGGGTTAAGGCCTCTGCCTTCGGCTCAGGTCATGATCTCAGGGTCCTGGGATCGAGCCCTGCATCGGGCTCTCTGCTCAGCAGAGAGCCTGGTTCCCTCTCTCTCTCTCTCTGCCTGCCTCTCTGCCTACTTGTGATCTCTGTCTGTCAAATAAATAAATAAAATATTAAAAAAAAAAAGAAAGAAAATTAAGCCCCATCTATATTATTTGTAAACAAACAAAAATCCCAAATGCAAAAACCTCCATTTGGATTAACATCCTGTGTGTGGAAAGAGAAAATTTATAGCTATTAAGAGAAGGTGTAGAATAACATCTATGTGATATCCAGACTAGAAAGGCAAAACAAAACAAAACAATCAAAAACCAAACCCCCAAAATCTAAAAGAGAACAAAAGATTGACAAATATTATTACAACTAATTGTGTGTGGGTGGGGAGGAGGGAGAATGGGGCCTTCTAAATGTCAAAAGACACCATAAGAATTTAAAAATAGTGCAGAGGATCATAGGAGAAAAGAGGGAAAAGCGAATGGGAAGAAATCAGAGAGGGAGACAAACCTTGAGAGACTCTGGACTCTGGGGGAACAAACTGAGGGTTACAGAAGGAAGGGGATGGGGGGATGGGGTACCTGCATGATGGGTATTAAGGAGGGCATGTGTTGTGATGAGCACTGGGTGTTATACTCAACTAATGAATCACTGAACACTACATCAAAAATTAATGATGTACTAATGTTTACTAATTGAACATAATAAAAAATTTTAAGTAAGAGAATCAGAGAAGATATTTGCAGATATTTAACAAAATATAAAAGATTTGCTTTCACAATTATAAATAATTTCTACAAATCAATAACCTCATGGATAAATGGATAAACTAAATGAACAGTTTGTATAAGGTGAAGTGTTAAGTAGGTAGTAAACATGTAAGATACTCAGTTTCAGGATTGAGCAGAAAAATGCTAATTAAAAATTTTATGTTAATCCAAGTGGCAATGAGGTGGATATATGACAAAATTGGGGTTGTTACTGATGTAGGAAAATGGGAAACTTTTACAGATTTTTGTGTGCCTCCTATGTGGAATTCAATTAAACAACAGCTAATAAAGTAAAAAAGGGCTTAAATTACATAAATGTTCCTACACACTGTGATTTATTAATCCTATTTCTGGGTGTGTACCTAGGATTAATTATTTTTTAAATTACTTAAGGAGATTTTGCAGCATTATTTATGATAGCAGAAATTGAACACATTGAGAACAGAACAGTAGGAGAAAGAATAGAAAAAATATGTTCATAAGTTGGGATATTTATTAACAAAATGTATAACCTGGATTTCTGTATGTTTTCAATATTATAATATTTGGGGGGAAAAGCAAGTTGTAATGATACTTTCAGAATGATGTCATTTCAGTAAAATTTTTAAATAAATATGTACAAAAACACTATGTATTGTTCAGTGATCCATAAAAATTATATAAATAGATGAAAATAAACTTACAGGATTTATGGTACATTTATAAGAATTTGGGAATTGGGGAGAGTGGAATGTGTGTAGGGATGGGGACAAAAGAGATTTCTATATTATGTCACTTGAGAAATACAACAAAATATCAGTTGTCAAATCTAGAGTATGGATTTACAAGGGTCAATTATTTTTGTACTTAAAACTTCTTTAAGAGATAGAGATATAATACAAAAACTATACAGGACCTGCAAACCAGATGATAGTAGAAAAGCCACAAGGAACTTACCTAAGGAGTTGGCTGATGGTGCTAAAACACACACACAGAAACAGGAGGTGAATTGTCAGAATTTGGATCACTGACCTTGTATATCAATTGCTGTTACCTCCTCTCAGGAGGTGGTCGAGGCCCAGGGAGCCCAATTGACCTAGCTGTGGGTATCAGAAGCCACTCCCACCAACTCCATCCCTTCCATCTCTATAAAGTGTTTCAGCTTTTAGTAGACAGATGTTATTCCTATAAAACTTTGTGGCTTACATCTCTGTCCTAATCCCTCCCCCATTCCTTTCCTTTCTTCTTTCCTCTTCCACTCCTTTCACTTCCCTTTCCTGTCACTCATCATTACCTCTTTTTTTTTTTTTTCCTTTTCTCTCAGTCAGTTCTGAAACCAGCAGACCAAGTTTGGAAACTGACAGTTTGTTAATGACAAACTATCTTAAACCAGCACTAGGAGACTTCACTTATTACTCAGTATTCATATGAACTGATGGCATTTCTCTTTTCTCAAAGCATTTACAATCTAGGGAAGCAAATTTTTGTTGAAAAACAAGAGAATACTTACTGTAATCTCCTTTGGATCCCTCTAAAAACACAAATAAAACCAAGAAAAATCAGTTTGAATTTTCTATTTTTATAGTTTCAATATCATTACAGAGGATTACCCAATCAACGCCCTCAAATATCCAAGTAGGCAAGAAACTGGGGGCAAAAATCTTCTCATGACTTAATTTATGAGTCAAATGACATGAAAAACCAGGCAAAGAATAAAGGTAAATACATAGTGAGAAAAGATAATATTTATACATGGAAAGAAACACAGAAACAGAAGAGCACAGTAGTTATAAAATAAGTTAAGGTAAAGTAAGAGAAAAAAAATGGCAAAATATTTACTCAACTAATTGAGAGTTCAAATTTAATGAAGAGTGGCAAATTTAATGAAAAGGTGGCAAAATTTAATGAAGGTATGGCAAAGTATAATGAATACACACACACACACACACACACACATATTGTGATTGGATATGCATCCTACAACCTAAAACTTAATACTGTCACGAAAACATTGTCTAAAAAATCTGGAGACAAAGTAAATTATATGAAAACTTGCCCTCCTATTACTATTGTTTTCATGAAAGTGTAAAAATAAATAATACCAACACTCTGGAAATGACAAATTATGTTGCACAATGGTCTAATTTGCTATTTTACTGACATATAAGTAAAGATCTACCTGGAAATGTAAAGACAACTTTTTTTTTTCATCCCCATCCTGAAAATGAATACTTTCCTGCGATAGTCGAGTGTCATTGTGATGGGATTAAGTCCAAGACACACAAAACCTCTGGTTTACACTATTGTTACTTGTTTCTCTTTTTTCTGTGGGTATTTTAAAAACAGAAAATACCAAGATGTATATAACAAATGTGCCTCATTTACACTTGCTGTAAAGCTTAATAACATTCCAAATAAATTCAGTGCCTTTCAAAATTCATGAATTATCATAGCAAATTTAATATGTAATACATGATATATTTAAATATCAAAATTTAAGTACTAAATTTCATGCACCTAAACTGATCTGATGACTTTGCCGAATATTTTCCTGTCAGAGGATTTTTGTAGTCTCTAGCTGGCCAGCAAATTTATATTTCCATGTCCAGAAAAGATAGAGGGCACACTGGTAGAGCTTGGGAACATAGAAACAAGGTCATTGAGCTTCATAAGGCTACTTTAGAGTGACTGGGAAATCAAAGAAATAAGTTGTCATTTGGCTCTATGGATTTTAAATTATGGTTTATTTAGACCACCATAAAATGTTTACTGATCCAAGTTTTCCCTAAAAATGCAAGGGTAGCCTGGATAGAAAGAAGCTAAGATTGCAAACTCTACACTTAAGATCCATAGCAGGAAATTAGTAAGATATTACTAAATTGTGTAAAAATAAGGAATATGAAATCTAGAGTCAGATAATTCTATGTTTCTATCAGGTTGAGTCATTTGCAAACCCTGTGGCTTTGGGCAAGTCACTAACATTTTTCATGTGTATGTTTCTCTAATTAGGGATAAAAAGTCAAGGAGGACAATATATAGTAAGTTAATTGATTTAAGAATTGCTTGCTAAGGATCATCCTTACTGATGAAGAAAATAGACTGTAAGAGGGCAAGAGTAGGAAGAACCCAGTAAGGGGTCAAAGTAGTTCAGGCAAGAGATGTTGATGTTTGAGCTAAGATTGCTGTTATGGTGAGAAGTGATCTAATTTGTAATATAATGGGAAAGTAGTGGGGATGGGATTTGCTGGTGGATTGTCTAAGGAAAGTGAGAGAAAGAAGTTACAGAGGTGTAAGGCCTGAGAAATTGGGGGAATGCATGTGCTGGTACCTGTATGTAAATAGGATCAGGACTTGGGTTTTGGACATGTTAAGAATGAACTACCATTCTTATATAATCAGGACCACCATATTATGGTTGCATAGGTTGTTCACTGTGCAGAGGGATTTGGGGGCTAAAATCCCAGTAGTGTCCTTCAGTGGGACTGCATCTGCCTAGAGAAAGGAAAACTCTCTAATTTGCACCAAAGCAATCTGTAGGGTAACTTGTAGAGACCTTGAGCAGCCACAGGAGCTTCATTCTTTGTGGTTCACAGGGTCATTTGTAGATATTAAAATAAAGTGAAAAACGTCCACAAGAGTGGCTGGCACATAGAAGAAGGTACTGAATGCGTGTTAATTCTCTCCCTTTCTTTGTTTATAGTTGCATTTTACTTATCTGTGTACCCTTACATTTCTCACATTCAGGTAGCTTCTTGCACTGGTTTAATGCAGTGTCGTGATGACTGACTATTCTGAGGAGGTTTGTTTCCCAAGAAACATGAGATGTAAATGACAACAGTAGACAAGATCAGGCTTTCTTTGCCCTCTTGGAATTTCAGTGCACAGGTCAAACCTTAAAATGACAAATTTTAAGGGATTTATTCCTCCATTTCTTAACATTTATATTAAAAAAAAGACACTTAGTGGCTAACATTCATGCGCTCTGGGATATTGAATGTACCTTGAGTACTCAGACTACTTTAAGATGATTAGGAAGTGAATAGAAGAGGAATAGGATGGTACTGGGGGAAAAGACACCTCATGGTGTCAAGGTGACCATTTCTGAATGCTTCTCAGAATCCTCTATACATTACATTGGTTTCCTGTCTTTTTACCTAAATTGTACAGCCCCTCATGTTATAACAGGAAAGAAAACAGATCCAAATATACTTACCTTGATCATCATATGAAGTGTCTAGAGGATTGAAGGAAAAACATAAGATTCTTAATTTCTCATAAATAGACGTCTGTATTAATTTCTTAACAATTCAATACTTAATTTATTTACCACTTTCTGTTGAATACAAATGACGGAATCCTAAAAGACAAGATGAAAACATAATGAGATTCTACCCTGACAACTACGTCTACATTATTTTCTTTCTAGGTGAAAATCTGTTTACCTCTTGCTCTTTCAGATCTCTGAGAGGGAACATCTTTTGAGGGGAAAAAAAAAAAAAAAACAGATTAAATTTACTAACAGCTCATCAAGAAATGTTTCATCATATGTCTAAATCCAACTAGTAGGATTTCTCTTCTTCCCTAGATTTTTCTCCTTTCCTAGATTTCCCTTGTATCCCATTTCAGGAAAGAAAGAGAGGATCCCATGGCTCCTCACTCTGTTCATGATAGATGAATCATAGAAGTAAGAGGAGAAGGCATGCACCAAGAGGCCAAGTGTGGGGCATGACAGGAAGCAGAGTGACCAAGCTGTCTCTTCTCTTCTTTTGGAAATATGAATCTTTATGCTTGTAGAGTGTGTACGTGTGTGCATCTGTGTGTGTGTGTCCCTACAAAAAAGTAGGGTGCCTTGGCCTCTACTTCGAACCATTAGATTTCTGGTTGTTTAATTTCAAATATGTTTTATCATTATTTTTGCATCTAGGAAATTGTTTCAGAGAGGTTTCTTCCCTTTCCAAGATCTTGGTATAATCAGGAGTTGGAAAGAATATTTTTAATGTCTCAGAAAGGGGACATATTTGTCTTTTCTGAGAAAAATATACAAATCACATTATTTATATACATACACACACACACACACACACATATATATGCATATAAAGGTAGATTGGCAGTTGGATATTGTAATAATAAAAGGTGTGCTGACCTCACAAATTGTGCTCAAAGGGAGATGGGCTCTTTTTGTTCTATAAGAACACATTTCTCTATTCATTCTGTAGTAGTTCCTAATCTATTTACCTCTACCATCCTCATAGTCCAGAAGACCAGCACCTGGAGTAAAAATAGAGAGTACTTCATGGTTTTGCTTCTTGAAAAGGAGTGGGGCTTTAAGACTCAGAGCTAATGTAGAGATGGACTCTCAGTAATAAATAATGATGGGAATTTTTTTACTTTGTGGGAACTAAGGACTGCAAAGCTGGAGCAGATGATGAGTACTATGCCAGTCACCAGTTTCACTAGACTAGACAGCAATCAGAAAGGGCCTCAATTTGCTTTTCCTTCTTGGTGCTCCAGAACTTAACTTCTGTTTTCCTTTTCTTAATAATCCTGGGCTATCTTTCACCAATTTTGACATCTCACTAGACATTGCCATGGAAAATATGCTTCATCTCTTCATATCTTGAACTTGGTGCTCTTCTCAATCATAATTACCTTAGTTGTGTTTACTCTTTTATTATTCCTAGCAAATTTGATTCTTCTACCCAGCCACCTTGCTGAGGCCCTCTTCACTACCAGATTTAGACCTCCTATTCCATTGCCCGAGGAGTCTGCCATTTTCATGACTTGGTATTCCTGTTGCTGTTGTTCCACAGAAGGTATCCGAAGAGAGCCTCAGAATCATGCAAACTTACCCCCTATTCATTCTGCCCAATTTCAGTTTGGCACTCAGTGTTACATAGAAATCTCTGGTAGATTTCTCTGAGTAAGTTAGAAGTTCAGTTTATGGAGTGATTCATTTTGCAAGGTGCTGGGAATACAATGGTAAATAAGACAGACTTGGTCCCTGACTTAAGGAAATTCCATTATGCTTTCTATTTTTCTTTCTCTCTTGGGTCTAAGTACTTACTTTGTTCTGAACTGTATCTTGAGACATCAATTTCTGTGGAAGAATCAAGCAAAAATATTACTATTAACTACTTGTGAGAGGTGTTCATCCTCCTGACCCGTCTCTCGTCACTCTAAACTGTGCTTCTGTGTTCCCAAGGTGGCACTCTTGATATGATGTATTACTGGTTCCTACCCCTTTCCAGCACCTACAGCCAGCCCAGTTCTGTTTCCACACTTATTCTCTGAGGGCTCATAGGTGCTGAGATAAGAAAAAGGGGTGGTGGGGGGGATACAAGGCAATGAAGAAAATATTGAGGAAAATCCTGGAAAGAGACACCTTATGGCATAGAAATACATCATTGGCTACATGAGCCCCATCTCTGTTTCCTTGACAAATACTACTCTATATTTGTTTCTTCTTATCATCTCCGTACTATTAAGTAACTAAAATTCTTTTTTTTAAAGATTTTATTTATTTATTTGAAAGAGAGAGATATCACAAGTAGGCAGAGGAGGAGGAGAGGGGGAGAGAAAGAGGGAGAAGCAGGCCCCCTGCTGAGCAGATGTGGGGCTTGATCCCAGGACCCTGAGATCATGACCTGAGCCGAAGGCAGAGGCTTAACCCACTGAGCCACCCAGGCACCCCAGTAACTAAAATTCTTGAAATATTTTGGTATAATACTAGCTAGTGGTGTCCATCAGCACAGTATCTTTTCTTTTCCATTTTTATTATGTAGATAATTTCCCTTGGAACTTAGATAATTTTAGAGTATTCTTGTTATTACTATTTTTAAATTCAATCTGCTTTTTGGGGGGCTTGACATTATTGGCTATGTGAGCTTTGGGAGTTTAAAAAGTCTCTAGCTATCTCTAGCAAATTTCTTAGCCATCTAATAAGTAGAAACGAAGTGAAACTGAATCTTGATATCCCTTCCACTGTGACTTTCATGGGGAATTTCCATTTTGACTTTTTACTCACCATTTTGCTTGCGCCGTGTCCATCTTGTTAATAAAATAGCCAGAATGGCAAGTCCCAGTAGAGTCAGGATGACAGCCAAAGTTATTTCTGCAACAAAATCTCACCTGTAGACCTGCTTATTTAGACCTGGTCATTATCAGAGACAATTACCGATCACTTCTTTATTGTTTTTGCCAAATAGATATATCTCCTTTTCTGCTACCTGAGCTCCTCTCTTCCTTTATGTTCTTCATCTTATTGTCCCCACATTCCTTCCCCTACCTATTTTTTATGTTGGTCCTTTTGGTCAGATACCAAAAACCGCAGTTGCTGTCTAACTCTTGATTTAGAGTGGAAAACGTGACAGATTTCCTCCTCAATTGAATCCCTTACTCTCTACAGACAGAAGGCTAGAGGAATTCAGTGATATGCAAAGCAATCCACTGGGGTGTGAGGAAAAAAATATTAGTTCTACTTTTATGTAATTTTATATTACAACTTTAAAATTCTAGGTTTTCTGTTTTGAAACATATATTAGTACAGTAGTATGTTTTATATGTGTGTGTGTGTGATATACACACATATATAATGTGTGTGAAAAAATTTTTACAGCAAAAGTTTTTTGAGCAATCAAAACTTAGTGGCCCCTGACAGAAAGTGGTCATATTAGTGAAAACCACAGCAGAGGGCAAAAATTTCTTACCATTTGGAAAGACCTTTCAGTCATCATCAACAAAGTCCCTCATGATAAGACAGTTATCTGTGAAGAATGTAACTTTGATTACTAGGAGAAAGAATGCTGGAACTGCCTAAACTATATCTGTTTATGTATAATTGGAGAGACAAATCTTAATTATGTACTTTGCTACAGTTAATGAAAAACTGAAACTAAGGAGAGTTTTGGAGAAGAAAGTCCGGCAGTGAAGCAGAAGGAAGGAAGGAAGGGAGGAAAGAATGGAGAAAGGAAGGAAGGGAGAAAGAACAAGGGAAAGAGAAAGAGAAGAAGAGATAGTAAGGAAAGAAGGAGGAAGGAAAGAAGGAATGAATGAACAAAGTGAATGAATGAACATCTGCCTGTAACAGTGAAAAATGTTGAAGACAATTGACTATGAAGGACTAAGAAAATTAATTACACTAAGATTAAAAATGCTTCAAAAAAGCAATAGATGAATTCATCTCAAGATGTAATGACACACCTCCAATTGGGGAAAATTGGGCAAATGTCTACCAGATCTTTCAAGTATTAGATCATGTGAGAAAATTTTCCCAAAAAGACAACCTTCAGAGATTTTCTCCTAATGGACCAGTAAAATGAATAGGAAGTAGTTGGACTCTTCTGTGCAGTCAGAATTTCATAACTGATGTGAAGTAATCCTTAGGGATGGAAGGGATAACCAGGTGGTATACTTGGATCAAGCTTCTGGTACCCCCTTTGAATAGTGTCAGAAATGTTCTGGCTATTGGACAGAAGATGATCTACTCCATTTATGAGGAAAATAAGAGGAAGAGTTGAGGCAGATTATAAAGTGAGTAATATTACCAGAAGTGAGATAACAGGTAAGGAATTTTCTTATTATTCCATAGGATGGTTATTTTCTTTTAGTAATTCAAACTCCTGAAACCAAAGGAAAGATTAATGTCCTTACTCTAGAGTTTAGTTGACTATGTGGGTTGTTTTCCCCAGGCCTCCAAAGGAATCAATGAGAATGAAAGAAAGGATACTGAATTTGAAAGTAAGCAGGCAAGAAAGGTAAAGCCATGTGTTAAAGTCTCTAAGGAGGAGACTTTTCTGATTCAGTAGGGTAAGGGAGGCCTTAAAGAGGAACTCAGTCCATACCCAAAACTGCCATTTTCCAGGTATTGTCTTCAGTGGTTTCTGTGTCATCTGGATTTCTTTGTCAGAGGGTGATGAAGAAAAAAGGAACACTCGAAGCTCACTGTTTCTGAGCAGTATGAACTTGAATGTGGGGGAGACCCTTGTAGACAAGCATGCAGAGGGTTGCAGGGGACTGTGTGACTTAGGTTGATCAGACCTAAGTAGGCTACAGGAGTGTGGCCTATGAAGGTTCCAGAATCTATGTCATAACAAAGAACTGGAACTTTAGAGAGGCAAGAAGAAAGGAAGAAGAGAACCAAGACACTGGGAAGATTTCAGAATATTTTAAAAGACTTTAAACTTATGATTTTGGAAGGGAGTTTATCTGTACTCTGGAATAAGTTCTAATTTTCTAGTGATTTTGAGGCCAGAGGCTCTATTTCCATCATCCTTGTAACTCTTGAGGCAGAGAATGTCCTATGGAATAGGCACTTAATACATGTTTAATAATTAGAAATGAGAAAAATTCCCAAATCTATTTAAAAGAAGGACCATGAAACAAATGGAGGGTGAGCCAGTGAAGCCCAGATGTTGAGATTAGATAGTAAGAGAAAGTCAAGAGGTCTCACATTTACGTTTAACTCATTTTGAGTTTATTTTTGTGTGGTGCAAGAGAATGGTCCAGTTTCATTCTTTTGGATATAACTGTCCAATTTTGCCAGCACCAGTTTTTGAAAAGACTATCTTTTGGGCACTGTATCTTCATTTATCCTGTGTCAAAGATTAATTGACCATATAGTTGTAGATTTTCTCTTCTATTCCATTGATCTATGTGTCAACTTTTATGCCAGTACTGTGCTGTTTTACTCCCTACTGCTTTATAATATAACTTGAATTCTGGAATTGTAATACCTCCTGGTTTTTCTTTCTCAAGGTTGTTTTGACTAATCAGGGTCCTTTGAGTTCCCATAGAGATTTTAGGATTGTGTGTTCTAGTTCTGTGAAGAATACTATTAGTATTTTGATAGAGATTGCATTTTACCTGTAGATTACTTTGGGTAGTACAGAACTTTTAACAATATTTGTTCTTCCAATTCATGAGCATGGAATGTTTTTCCATTTCTTTGTGTTGTCTTGAATTTCTTTCATCAATGTTTGATAGTTTTCAGAGTACAGGTCTTTCACCTCTTTGGTTAAGTTTATTCCTAGATATTTAATTGTTTTGGGTACAATTGTAAATGGAGTAGTTTTCTTAATTTCACTTTTAGTTGTTTCATTACTAGTGTAGAAAAATGCAAGATATTTGTGCGCATTGATTTTGCATTCTGCAACATTACCAGATTCACTTGTCAGTTCTAGTAGTTATATGATGGTTTTTAGGATTTTTTTTAAAATTATTTTTATTATCATATAAAAATTATTTTTTATTAACATATAATGTATTATTTGTCCCAGGGGTACATGTCTGTGAATCATCAGACTTACACATTTCACAACACATTCCCTCCCCAATGTCCATAAACCAACCACCCTATCCCTACCCTCCCACACCCTAGCAATCCTCAGTTTGTTTTGTGAGATTAAGAGTCTCTAATGGTTTATCTCCCTCCCAATCCCATCTTGTTTCATTTTTTCCTTCCCTGCCCCCGTAACCCCCTGACCTGCCTCTCGAATTTCTCATATCAGAGAGATCATATGATCTTTGTCTGTCTCTGATTGATTTATTTTGCTCAGCATAATTCCCTCTAGTTCCATCCACACCATTGCAAATGGAAAGATTTCATTTCTTTTGATGGCTCCATAGTATTCCATTGTATATATATACCACTTTTTCTTTATCCATTCATGTGTTGATGGACTCTAGGTTCTTTCCATAGTTTGATTATTGTGGACATTGCTGCTATAAACATTCAGGTACATGTGCCCCTTCATTTGTATCTTTAGGGTAAATACCAAGTAGGGTGATTGCTGGGTCATAGGGTAACTCTATTTTCAACTTTTTGAGGAACCTCCATGCTGTTTTCCAGAGTCGCTGCTCCAACTTGCATTCCCACCAACTGTAGGAGGGTTCCCCTTTCTCCATCCTTGCCAACATCTGTCATTTCCTGAGATTAATTTTAGCCATTCTGACTAGTGAATTTCCTATGTATAGTACCATGTCATCCATGAATTGTGAGAGTTTTACTTTTTCAATTCTTTTCCAATTTGGATGCCTTTTACTTCTTTTCATTTTCTATTTACTGTTGCTAGGACTTCCAGTACTATGTTAAATAAAAGTGGTGATGGTGGATATCCTTCTCTTGTTCCAGACCTTAGAGGAAAAGCTCGCAATTTTTTACCATTGAGTGTGATGCTGGCCATAGAGTTTTCATAAATGGCCTTCATTATGTTGAGATAAGTTCCATTTAAATTCACTTTGCAGAGGGTTTTTATCATAAATATATGTACTTTGTGAAATGCCTTTTCTGGGAAGGAGTCAAGATAGCAGAGGAGTAGCAGACTGAGATGACATCAGGGCCTAGTCAGCTAAATAGTTATCAAACAATTCTGAACACCTACAAACCTAACTGAAGATCGAAGAAAAGAAGAGCAGGAATTCTAGAAACAGAAAATGGACAACTTTCTGAAAGCTAGGACATGAGGAGAAGTGAATCTGAAGCAATGGAAAGATAGACCATAGGGGAAGGGACCAGTTCCTGGCCAGCAGTGGAGCAACAGGACACAAAATTCAAACTTTTAAAAGTCTGCTCCACTGAGGCACATACCTCCAGAGGCTAAATGAGCCCTTGTGGGGACAGTGTAGTCTCAGGTCCCATGGGGTCACAGAAGTATCAGGGTGTCTGAGTGTAGCAGAACTCGCAGGTCTCACAGCGGGGAACCCAGCTACAGTTGGACCCAAGGCATGAGCTCTCAGCTTGGTGTTACTTTAAGTTGTGATCTGCAGCACAATTGGACCATTGCTCTTTGAGAGGGATCCCACAAGTAGCAGACCCAGGGAGACCCACCTTTACCCACTGGAAGAGCAGAGAAGCAGGAATCTGCTGGGTTTGGAGACTCCAAACAGGACTGTGTGCTAGAGACGGAAATACTAAGTCACAGACTGGGTGTGTTCGGAGTGCGGCTGGAGACCAGGGAGATGGGAGAGACTGAAAGCTTTTCTCCGAGGGCATACTGAGGAGTGGGACCCCAAGCTCTCAGCTCCTCTGGGCCAGAGATTCGAAGGCTGCCATTTTCATTCCCATCCTCTAGAGCTGTAAGGGAAAGTGTTCAGATAACAGAAGTACTGAGAGTGAACCTGAGCAGATTACTTAGCCTGGCCCCTGGCAAGGGTGGCCCAACTCCACCTCTGGCAAAGACATTTGATAATCACTACAACAGCGCCCCCCCACCCCCACCCAAGACCAGCAAGAACTTCCAGCTAAGACCAAGCTCACTGATCAAGGAGAACAGCGGAATTCCAGAGAGGGGAAGGTAAAGCATGGAATACATGGCTTTCCCCCCATGATTCTTCAGTCTTGCAAAGTTAATTAAATTTTTTAATTTTACTTTTTCCTTATTCGAATTTTTGTAACTTTTCCTTTTCCTATTTTAACGTTTCTTAACTAGTTTATCTTAACAATATCTTTCTAAAAAAATCTTTTTAAAACTTTCATTATTTTAGTCATATTTTATCTTTCATTGTATCTAACTTTATTTTTTGTATACATATAGGGTTTTTTTCTTCTAAAAAATTTTGGGATACAATTTCTTCTAAAATATCAAAATATACCCTAAATCTAGCACAGGGCCTTGTTCTAGTCTCTAGCCTGGGCAAATTCACTCCACTTTCTTTTTCATTCTTTTTCCAAACCAACTAATCTTATCAATTCCTTTTCTAGAATTTTTTTTAAATTTTCATCTTTACAGTCATATTCCATCACTTCATCATGTTTGCCCTTATTTTTGTAGATATATAAATTTTTCTTTCTTTAAAAATTTGGGAGGTAGTTTCTTCTAAGAGTCAAAAATATACACAAAATTTAGCGACATTGCTACCCTTTTAGTATTTTATTCTCTTGTTCATATATTCTTATCTGGATAAAATGACAGGCAGATAAACTCACCACAAAACAAAACAAAACAAAACAAAAAAGTAAGAAGAACAAGAGGTGTTACCAAAGGCTAAGGACCTAATCAATATAAACATTGGTAATATGTCAGATCTAGAGTTCAGAATAATTCTCAAGGAGCTAGCTGGGCTTGAAAAAGGCATGGAAGCCATTAGAGAAACCCTGTCTAGAGAAATAAAAGCTCTTTCTGGAGAAATAAAAGAACTAAAATCTAATCAAGTTGAAATAAAAAAAGCTATTAATGAGGTGCAATAAAAAATGGAGGCTCTTACTGCTAGGATAAGTGAGATAGAAGAGAGAATTAGTGATATAGAAGACTAAATGACGGAGAATAAAGAAGTTGAGCAAAAGAGATAAAAACAACTACTGGATCACAAGGGGAGAATTCAAGAGATAAATGATACCATAAGACAAAAATGTATTAGAATAATTGGGATTCCAGAAGAACAAAGAGAGAGGAGGGCAGAGGTGTATTGGAGCAAATTATTGTAGAGAATTTCCCTAATATGGCAAAAGGAACAAGCATCAAAATTGAGGAGGCACAGAGAACCCCCCTCAAAAATCAATAAAAATAGGTTCACACCCCGTCATCTAATAGTAAAATTTACAAGTCTTAGTGACAAAGAGAAAATCCTGAAAGGAGCCCAGGAAAAGAAGTCTATAACCTACAATGGTAAAAATATTAGAGTGTCAGGAGACTTATCCACAGAGACCTGGCAGGCCAGAAAGAACTGGCATGATATATTCAGAGCACTAAATGAGAAAAACATGTAGCCAAGAATACTATATCCAGCTAGGCTATCATTGAAAATAGAAGGAGAGATAAAAAGCTTCCAGGACAAACAAAAACTAAAAGAATTTGGAAACACCAAAGCAGCTCTACAGGAAATTTTGAAAGGGGTCCTCTAAGCAAAGAGAAAGCCTTAAAGTAACACAGACCAGAAAGGAACAAAGACAATATAAAGTAACAGTCACCTTACAGGTGAAACAATGGCACTAATTTCATATCTTTCAACAGTTTCCGTGAATGGGCAAAATTCTGCAATCATAAGTCACAGGGTATCAGAATGGGTAAAAAAAAAAAGGCCCATCAATATGCTGCCTACA